CCGACAGCCCCCTGTCGAAAAAAAACATACTAATGCTCCTGAGAATTTCCTGTTCCCAGGATTTTAAGCCTCTTATTTTGACCTACTTCTGTCGAAAACCGAGTAGGTCAAAAACAACATTTCTCTTCTTTTTTTTTCTTTTTTTTGCTCCTCTTCTCCCGTTGAATCCTTTTTCTTTCGTCTATTTTTTCTCAAACTATTTTTTCATTTTTCTCAAGATTTTTCTTTTTTTTTCTTCTTTTTTTAAGTTCTATTTTTCTAAACTTCCTGAATTCTACTTTTTTTGAAATTATTGTTCTACATTTTTACCCTCATGTCAAGTGCTTCTTCCTCCTCCCTTCCCTGCAATACGACTCTCTAGGCTCCGCCCACTTTTTTACTTGCCCCCAGCGAAAAAGGGAGGCTCCGCCCACATTTTTTGACTCAATTCTCCTCACATTTTACTATTATTACACTTTATCGGGTGTCTCGGTGTGCCTCTTTTTTTGGAAATTCAATTTTATTGGTGAATTTGTATGCTCAATATGTTTTTTTGGAGTATTGGAAAACAATTTTTGGGAAAGAAGTTTTTTTTTTCAAACAATTTGAATAGTATTTTTCTTTGTTGAAAAATTGTATTTTTTAAAATTTGAATTTTCTGAAAATTAGAAATTCAAAAGTTCAGAAGTTTTCAATTTTTCCAAAATCACAATGTTTTTTGACTCCAGGATGTTTAGAAATTCAGAAATTCAGAAATTCAGAAATTCAGAAATTCAGAAATTCAGAAATTCAGAAATTCAGAAATTCAGAAAATCTGAAATTCAGAAATTCAGAAAATCTGAAATTCAGAAATTCAGAAATCCAGAACTTCAGAAATTCAGAAATTCAGAAATTCCGAAATTTAGAACTTCACTTTTTCAACTCAAAATTTCAGCTTCAAGAAATTCCAGACATAACCCCCCCCCCCCTCAGGGGTCAATTTTCACTTTTTCGTGGGCGGTCCCAGGAAACGGAGAATTGCGATTTTTCGCGAATTTCGTCAAGTGAAAACTCATTAAACGAGAGAGGAGAGAGCAACTTCTCAAATATATCAATTCTCGAGAAAACAAATTCTCGTTCTTCTTCGTTTTTTTCCTCTTTTTCTCCATTCATTTATCAAAAAAAGACCCTCTCCTTCTCACGAAAAAAAAACATGTGTCGAAATAAAGAAAAACGAGAGAACGAGTCCCAAGATTTCCGACCACAATATGATATTTATTTCCGAACAGCTGTCTTGTTGTTTTTTTTTCAGCAACAGTCACTTTGATTGATAGATCTCGAAGGGACCTACTGGTAGGTAACTTTGATCCGGTTTATCTCAATTCTCATCAGAGATATCAAAAATCTGTAAACTAATAAAACATTTTTTACATTATGATAAACATTTTATCAGTTGACCACTTTTTGATATCTGTTACAGTAACCGAGATAAATTGGGTCAAAGTTAACATTTAGAATTTAAAAAAAGTTTGGGCAAATTTTGAAAATTTTTTTTGGAACTCGGATTTTTTTTTCCTTATTTTCAATCTCTGATTTTTCATAAAATAATTTTGAAAATTCTGAAAATTTTTGCGATTTTCTCTATCTAACTAATTCCGATTTTTTCTGCAAAAATTCCAAAAAAAAGTTTTTCTCTTCTTGTTTTTTCTAAAACCAAATTCCATATCCTAACAAACCTAACGAGCGAGTTGCCGACCGAAAATTCCGTTGCTCATCTTTTTTCATTCGGGACTCCACCCACTTTTTTTGCATTGGGAACCTTTTTTTCTAGAAATTCGGAATTTTGAAATTTCGAAATTGCAGAAATTTTCGAAATCCTGAAATTCTGAAATTCTGAAAATTGAGATTTAGAAATTCAAAAAAACAAAACGAAAAACATCAGGAATTCTGGAAAGTTCAGACATTATAAAAATAGAAAATTCTGAAATTCTAAGATTCTGATATTTTGAAATTCTAAGATTCTGATATTTTGAGATTCTGAGATTCTGAGATTCTGAGATTCTGAGATTCTGATATTCTGAGATTCTGAAGCTCTGAGATTCTGAGATTCTGAATTTCTGTATTTCTGAATTTCTGAATTTCTGAATTTCTGAATTTCTGAATTTCTGAATTTCTGAATTTCTGAATTTCTGAATTTCGGAATTTCTGAATTTCTGAATTTCTGAATTTCTGAATTTCTGAATTTCTGAACTTTTGAATTTCTGAATTTCTGAATTTCTGAATTTCTGAATTTCTAAATTTCTGAATTTCTGAATTTCTGAATTTCTGAACTTCTGAATTTCTGAATTTCTGAATTTCTGAATTTCTGAATTTCGGAATTTCTGTATTTCTGAATTTCTGAATTTCTGAATTTCTGAATTTCGGAATTTCTGTATTTCTGAGTTTCTGAATTTCTGAATTTCTGAATTTCTGAATTTCTAAGTTTCTGAATTTCTGAATTTCTGATTTCTGAATTTCTGAATTTCTGATATCTCCGCCTCGGACAGAGGGATATGATATGTTGTTTTAAAGGCGCATATCTCAAATACCAAAAAAGCTACAAAATGTTTACTGCAAAATATTTGAATTTTCATTCCGCATATTTCTATTGTTAACAATGTTAATGAAGCTCTTTTAGTTTTGAAGAATTACGGCTTTAAAAAGTACCCTCACCCCTCCCCCTTCTCTCCCGATCATGAAGAGGGTGAGGAATATGGTTTTTTCAAAGGCTCATATCTCAAAAACCAAAAAAGCTACAGAATAGTTGCTAACTAAAAAAATGTGCAAAATTTCCATTTGTACATTTTTGTGGTTAATAATTTTTATGCCGCTTCTCTAGTTTTATAGATATGCGCTTTTAAAAAATACCACCTGCCATCTCCCGCCTTTTTTCTCGCCTCTGACTCCGCCTCGGACAGAGGGGTATGGTATGTTTAAAGGCGCATATCTCAAAAACCATAAAAACTAGAGAAAAGTTGTCAACTACAAGAATGAAACTACATTTTTGATCTTAAAAATCTGGAATTTTGAGATGTTTCCAAAAAGCATAAGCTACTTTTCTAACCGTTCCAAAATAACCAAAAAGCAGAGGCGGCTCATTTTAAGTGGTTACATAGAACAGGAATCTACTAACGACTAAATCATTTGTTTTTCTTCAAATTGTCAGCGTCACTTTCTGATTCTTCAGTTTCCTCAGAAGACGTTCTTAGAAGACGTGACGACTCTTGGCGAAGTGTTGCCACATTTAACTCGCTCAATTAATTATTTCGTTGAGGGTGGACGAGATGAGGAAAAAGGAAGAACGACTTTTTTACAAGAAAAACAAGAAAAAAGGATAAACTTTTTCTTCTTCTATAATTAGAATCGCTCCCGTCCTGCTCCGTTGCTCTTTTCTTTAATTCAGAAAACTTTTTTGAGCAAGAAAAATGGGAAAATTGAAAACAAGAAAGAGTTCATTTTTGTAGAAGTCGATGATCCGCGAAATTAGGTTTTTTTTCTGGAAAAATTAGCTGAAAAAAGGGGAAAATGTAGAAATGTTGAAAAAAGAAGCTACAGAATCCTAAAAATTTTCCAGATTTCCAGATACTTCTGAATAATCTGAAATTTTCAAAAATTCGGAAACTTACAATTTTTTGGATTTTCAGAATATGTGGAATTTTCGGAAGTTTTTGATTGGTTTTTTTTGAAGGCGCATATCTGAAAGTTGGTTTTTGAGATATGCGTCTTTAAAAATACCATATCCCACTGGCCCTTCCATCATCAAGTGGGGAGGCGGCGGAGGGAGGTGGTACTTTTTAAAGGCGCATAACTCGAAAAGTAAAGAAACTACATAAAACTTGTTGACTGCTAAAATGTGGAGAATAACATCTTCCATATTTTTGCAGTTAAAATCTTTTCTCTAAAAATTTTCGTTTTCAAGATATACGCTTTTAAAAAGTACAACCCTCCCTACCCCTCCAGGTGAGGGGACGGGAGGAGTTGGTATCTTTAAAGGCACATATCTCAAAAACCAGAAAAACTATAAAAAAGTTGTCAACTACGTAAATGTGGGAAATCTTATGTTGCGCATTTTCATAATTAACCATTTTCATGTAACTTTTTTGATTTTTGAGATATGCGCCTTTAAAAATACCGTATCCCCTCGCCGGCATCGTCATCGAGAACTTTAACGAAGGGAAGGGGGAGGTGGTACTTTTTAAAGGTGCATGACTCGAAAAGTAAAAAAGCTACATAAAACTTGTTAACTGCTAAAATGTGGAGAATAACATTTTCCATATTTTTGCAGTTAAAATCTTTTCTGTAAAAATTTTCGTTTTCAAGATATACGCTTTTAAAAAGTACAACCCTCCCTACCCCTCCAGGTGAGGGGACGGGAGGAGTTGGTATCTTTAAAGGCACATATCTCAAAAACTAGAAAAACTACGAAAAAGTTGTTAACTACAAAAATGGAGCTCTATTTATACTATTTAATACAAAACTTACATAGTCCACAAATTTCGATTCTAAAAGAAACTACGGTAAGACCCGTTTTGTGCCTTTCAATTATGCTAATTTCGTTTAAAAAATTTTCAGAAGTTTCAGCCAATTTTGATTTTTTTTTTGCTATAATTTCCCCTGATTGTTGATTCCCTATGACTCAGAATCTCTAAAAACTACTACTTCCCAAAAAATGTTTTTTTTTCTCTCATAAAACATCTAAAATCAGCCTATCGTAGTTTCTAGTTTCTTCTTCTCATTATGATCCCATTCATATTATTCGGGATTTACGTCAACAGGAAAACAATTTCTTGGTTTTTTATAAGAATGTTTCTTGATGTGATTCCTTATCTTTGGTCCTTTTTCCGTACTTTTTTTCCGGACATTTTTTTATCATTTTTGACTCTTCAGAGCCTTTCTGACTTCTTCATTTTCTCCAAAAAAATGTTTTTTTCTAATTTATCTGAAATTTCCAGAATCCTCCTCAACAGTCCCTAGCCCAAGCCAAGCCCAAGCCAACCCAAACAATGGACCACACCATCAAGTACTTCCTCTATGAGATCTGCATTCCAACCATCATCATCCTCTGTGTCATCGCCGCCGGCCTCAACATCATGGTGTTCATTTCGCGGGGTTACTGTAAGATGAAGTCTGCGTCTCTCGAGTTGACCTACTCTCTCGCCTTGTCGGATACATGGACCAGCATTGTGATCGGAGTGTCGTTGTTCTGGAATAGTTACAAACCGGTGGTCCTGCAGATTCCTCATCAGAGCTTTTGTTTTCCGTTGACGTTGGAGGTGAGTTGGGAATATTTTTTTGGTTTCTGGGTTATCTCGGTTCCTATCAGAGATATAAAAATTTTGTCAATTGATAAAGTATTGGTGATAATGTGATAAACATTTCATTAGTTGATCGCTTTTTGATATATTTCACAGGGACCAAGATAATTGAGCTGCACGTATAAGAGCCAGTACGATCTTTAACCGCAGGTATCTCGGTACCCATAAGAGATATCAAAAATTTTTTAACTGATAAAATATTGGTGACAATGTGATGAACATTTTATCAGTTGACTACTCTTTGATATCTTTCACGGGAACCGAGATAGTTGAACTCAAAGTAAAGGGTGGCCTTCTATTAGATCCTTTAAAAATACCATATTCGTTTCCTTCTCATCTTTAGGCGTCTTTAGGCACCATCATCTTTAAAGGCGCATATCTCAAAAACCGTGAAAGATACAAAAAAGTTGTTAACTATTAAAATGTTTAAAATTCAATTTTACACATTTTACCAATTTAAAACTTTTTGATATCTCTTACGGGAGCAAAGATAAATTGGGTAAAAGTGGCTCTACAACTTTTAAAAGCGCATATTTCAAAAACCAATGAAGTTATGAAAATTTTGGAAACTCCGATGTCCAAATGACCAAAAACAGCTGCTCAGGCGGTTCCCAACAGCCCAGGGTCTAGAATATCAAATTTCGGAAACTCTTGTGATCTTTGATAGTTCAAAAAACCTCCTCCTACACAATGAACTTTTCCAACCAACTCAATTTTCATTGACCGTGTCTTTTAATTTACTCAAAAAAAAAACGAAGAAGAGCTCATCAGAAGAAGACGTCATGTTGAATTGGCGAAACAATTCAACAAATTGGGTTCTCGTGTGCACTGTTGCGTTTTGTCATTTCATTATTTTTTTGTCCTGTTTTCGTTTGTGTGACTAAACCTATCAAATTAAATTTAGGAATGGATGAATGATTATAGGATTAGAAGATGAAGAAGAACAACTTTTTAAAGGGACATGAGGGGCTCAAAAATTGGTTATTTTCTATTCAAATGTCTAGGCTATCATCCTAGAAAAGAAATCCGCGAGAAAAATGATCTTCAAAAAATTTTGTCCCAATCTATCTGGTCCAACGTTTGGACTCAAAATCTCACTTAAAAATTATGGTGTCTCAAATTAAGGTCCCTGCAAAACGTATTAAATTTCATCAGATAAATCTGAAAATTCTTCAGTATAGCAAGTAAAAATAGAGCTTCAATTTTGTAGTTGGCAACTTTTTTGTAGCGTTTTTGGTTTTGGAGATATGCGCCTTAAAAAACATCGTCTTCCCAATTCTGATAACATCAAAAGGAGCGCGGGAAGAGGAGAGAACTTTTTAAAGGCGCATATCTCGAAAACCAAAAGAGCTGAAAAAAGTTTTCAATTGCAAAAATGTGGGAAATTCTGTTTTACACATTTTAGTGGTGGACAACTTTTTTGTAACCTTTTTGGTTTTTGAGAAATGCGCCTTTAAAAATACCACCTCCTCCCTTATTTTCAGCGGGTATGGAAGAGAGGGTGGTACTTTTTAAAAGCGCATAACTCAAAAAGTAAAGAAGCTACACAAAAATGCTAATTACAAAAATGTAGGAAATTCTATTTTACACATTTTAGTAGTTTACTGCTTTTTTGTAACTTTTTTGGTTTTCGAGATATGCGCCTTTAAAAATACCACCTCCTCCCTTATTTTCAGCGGGTATGGAAGAGAGGGTGGTACTTTTTAAAAGCGCATAACTCAAAAAGTAAAGAAGCTACACAAAAATGCTAATTACAAAAATGTAGGAAATTCTATTTTACACATTTTAGTAGTTTACTGCTTTTTTGTAACTTTTTTGGTTTTCGAGAAATGCGCCTTCATAAAGTGGGACACATTCCACCGCTTTCCCACTTATGAATCGATTTGGGTATCGGCACTGGGTCGAAGGCCCTCTGGAAATCAATATACACGCTATGGGTATCTAACCCATTTAAAGAATTGAAAACAAGCTTGTTCTG